CAAATCTCTCCCGTTGATGGTGATTGGCGCTTGATGTTGCAGCTGTTGTTGTTGTTGGTTGGTTATTTTCATAACCTCCGTCTTGTCTATGTTCACCTGGAGTCCTGCCTTCTCCAGCTGCTTCTTCGACCAGTTTGTCGGTTTTCGCTTGTAAGTCTTCTATTTTGTGTGACATCAACATAATGGTGGTGACTATTGTAGCTCCCTGCATATAACTAGGAAATTTTTTATCAACATAGCTCTATCGCTCACCAGCACTCTTATTTGTTGAAAATATCACTGCAGTCTTGAGTTAACTATTTCTCGCATTTTATACTCTCGCATTGAACTTAGAACGGCTAACTACTGTTTTTCACCATAACTGCGGTACACTTCAGCGAAATTTTCCCATCGACTGTTTGAACAGGCCTCTGTTGCCTCTGTTGTCTGCTAGTACGGACGTTTCGAAGATTTCTGAGGATTCAAATGAATTAATTCGATGGATGGTGAATTTAACAGTGGAATCCAGGATGAACATTTCGTTCCATTCGAGACTCGTCATCTGGCTATACCTGCAATCTGAAGGGTGTGATGCTGTTCCCAGTGAAACTTGAGCCTAATATCTATCTTTCGTTTCAAGCCAAAGCGTCACTGAGTAGATCACTTGGGACAGTGGGCCACCTCCTGTGTAACGGGCGTCAGTTTTGATTCTGCTCTTAATTGACTAGGCCAAAATGATGTACTTTTGTAGACATTCTTGCGTTTGAAAAGTACATTACTGAGTTTGTTTATGTGTAAAACTTGGCCACTGTGGTGGTAGTAAGTTATTCCATATTCGTTTGTTTATTAGATGCATCACACACAGTCAGGGAAACAGTATTATTATTTACTGGATGACACAGTTTCCAACAAAATATTTTATTGTTCATGATCATTTTATCAATTATAATCACACGAATTCGAAACTTGAGTCTGATAGTTTTCTTTGTCCTCTCCTATTTGTCGTCGTCATTGGGGTAGTAGAATTTTCCAGATATCTGGCTGGACAGGTGTTGAATCATTCCTATTACACGTATTCACTCTCAGTTGATTCGATAAACAAAGCTTCCGTTGTAATCAATCTCTCCCTCCCTACACCCTGTTATATTGGATTTTGGAACTGTCATCTTATCCCATCCCATCCTTGATATAAGAATATCAAGAATATCAAGTTAATATGATTATGAGCAATAAATTGTGCTCGAAACGTCATCAGTAAATATTACTGTATAACACTATGAGACTCTATTAAAATAAAATTTACCCATAATGGAATCCATCCCATCCTATTGTATGGTTGTGTGTAACTGCATGTATTGAGTGGTATAGCTGAACTATTCTGTAGATTTCTTATCTTATTAGGGTCAGCGAGTCGTGATTTCGTTAAGCTTTTATGCTCGGCTAGTCTGAACTGGAACTTAGGACGAAAGTGACACTTGAGGACATAATGCTGGCTGTGAGTGCAGCTATGCCTGACTTCCACAGTATTTAAATTCCTCCAAGGGAAAATACACAAACAAACTTAGGGAGTTGCCATGAGGTCACCAATGTCCCCGCTTTTGGCAGATATATTCATGGCTAGGTGGGAAAACATAGCGATTGAAACGTTCACCCCCACCCATCCCAAAGATATCGTGGAGGTATGTAGATGACACATTCACTGTAATTAGAACACAGGATATAGATAGATTTTTCGAACACATCAACTCAAAGGTGTATGCAATTCAATTCACTTATGAATTGAAAAGTCAGGAACAGGGAAGCTTCCAATGTCAGACTGCAGCGTGAAAAGAAAAGAATATGAGAAGTTAAACATTAGTGTATGTTTACAGGAAATCCACACACACTCAAACAGATATTTGGACTTCCGATCATCCCGTGATATGTCATTGAAAGTAGGATTGATGAAATGTTTAGGTGATAACAGGGCACAAAAACTAAGTAATAGCAAGGAAAATCGAAGACAGCAAGTGAGACATATAGGAGAATCCTTGAAACTTAATAATTACTTTGATAAATTAGTCAGGAAATATGTAGGGAAATGTAAAAATAAAGTAAATAATGATAGTAGTGATAGTGATAATAATGATATTAATGACGACATGCATGTCAAATATGCACAAGACAACACCAACAATAAGGAGTCTAAATCATCAGTAGTAATTCCATACAAGGAAGGAACCTCGGAAGCCACCCGCCTTACGCAGAATTCTTAATAAGGCAGACAGGCGTAAAAGCGGCTGGTATTCAAACCAACCACAAACTCAATCAGAAACAAGCTTTGTCGGTTAAAGGATGAATCCTGTGGAGCCTTCTAAACAAAACAATTTAGATTATCTAATACCCTGTTTGCAATTATTGTAAGGTCAAATATATAGGTCAAAGTAGTAGAACTGAGTCAGTGAGTCAGACTAGCCGAACATAAAAACCTAGCAGCAAAATCTAGATTAGTTGACCCAAATAAGATAAGAAATCTAGAGAATAGTTAAGCTATACCACTCACTACATGCAATTACACACAACCATACAATAGGATGGGATGGGATAAGATGGCAGTTTTAAAATCTAATGTCACAGGGTGTAGGGATGGAGACATTGATAACAACGGAAGCTTTGTTTATCGAATCAACTGAGAGAGAATACGTGTAATAGGAATGATTCAACACCTGTCCACACAGATATCTGGAAAATTCTACTACCACGCCTACGACGACAAATAGGAGAGGACAAAGAAAACTATGAAACTCAAGTTTCGAAGTCGTGTGATTATAATTGATGAAATGATTATGAACAGCAATAATGAATTGTGTTCGAAACTTTGTCATCCAGTAAATACTAAAACTGTTTCACTGACTGTGTGTGATCTATCTAATAAACAAACTATTATGGAATCTCTTTCGTCTGTTCTCAGTGCGTGTCTGTGTGTGTGTGTGTGTTCACCTTCCCAATTTCGCCTTCTGTCTTCCTCTACTGTCTGTCCATCTCAGTCTGTGAACTTAATGCCTATCAATGCATAGACGGCTTTTTCCATTTCACAAACTCACACTATGCATGCGATGATCATTTGAAGGCGGTTTTTTCTATGACTTTCTATACCGAACCTGAGGCGTCAAGACCCTTTCGTTTGTCTTTTATCAGCGTTACTACTACTAAGGACTATCGTTGTCGTTGTTTTTGTTGCCTGTTATGACTTCCTTTATTGTTTATTCGTGTGTGTGTATGTGCGTGTGTTCATGTTTGTTTGTGCCATTTTATGATGGTATTTGCGATAGCCATGACTTGGCAGACAAGAGTCAAGGCAGGCGATAGTACGAACCAACAGTAGTTCCGAAAAAAGAAGACCTTATTGTCACAACATCAGTCCACTCGGAGATATTAACGCAACGCCTAAGTAGTTCGATAAAAAGACCATCCAGTGCTGCTGCTGCTGCTGAAGTATGCTGTGTCCTCAAAACCACCCCACCCAGCCCCCATTTCGCCTAAGACAGTTAAAGATAAACTGCCTAATTTCGCCTCTTTAATGTGTACCTACCAATTTGACTGCTCCTTTAGAACCAGTCAAATATGCCGTCTTTATCATCGGATTTCAAAACATCATCCTGCACAGTGATTAGTTAAGTAAAGGACAAACAAAATCCATTCATAAATAAAAGAGAATATAAATCATCTACAGTTATACCATATAAAGAGGGGACATCTGAGACTCTACGTAGGATTCTAAATAAAGCAGGAATTAGAGTGGTGGTGGCACTTAAACCTACAAACTCACTCAGGTGGAACAGGCTCTGTAAGTTGAAGGACCCAGTTGACCCAATTAGACAAAATAATATAATTTACTAAATAACCTGCAATGACTATGAGTTAGGTCAACCGCCTACATAGGTCAAACTAGTAAGTCGTGGATAGTCAGATTGTCAGAACATAAGAATTCAGCTAAGGTAACAATGGTTGACCCCACCCGAGAAGATAAGTAATTTAGAAAAACCAACTCAACACTACATCGCACTGCATGCATTAACACACAACCACACAATAGGGTGGGAGAGGGTTAAAATTCTAAAAAGTAATCTATGTAGGTGGAGAGAGAGGTTGATTACTGAATCCTGCCTGGTTCATCGAATCTACACCCAACACATGCAACAGGAATGAATCATCACATATACCCGAAATATGGAAAATAATACTACCAATCAAATCAAGTGAAAATCAATGGAACTATATAAATGAATTTAGGAAGTCGTGTGACTACCTTTATATGATTATGAGCAGTGATAAATTGTGTTCGAAACTTGGTCATCAGTAAACATTACTGTATAACAAGACTGTGAAACTTTATCAAAACAAAATTTACCCATAATGGAATTACACACTACCACAGTGTACAAGTTTTATCTTATACCATTCATAGATGCTTTATTCTATCTCATCTTGTGGATACAGAACACAAAACTGATTGATGTTAACCAGGCTTTATCATCACTGCAAACACAATTAGGCACACACACAATCACAATTTTCAAGAGTTGGCTTGTAAGGATTAGATTTGTTTTACGAGTTTGACCACGCACGGATTGATAACAATGAGGAGTTACAGCAGCATTGAAAACCAGCCACAGGGAGTACTGCCAGACAGCTGCTGTTTCATCAGCCTAGTTTGGGAATCATCGGCAGTACGCACCCATCACAAAGGGGGTTCGAAGCCAGGAGCCACTGGGACGCAATTCAATGGCCAGCGCATGAATTCTAACTTCTACGAGCTTGCCTTGTAACCGGAAGCTCCTGACTCAAACCCCCCCCTGTGGTGGGTGCCGATGATTCCGAAACTAGGCAGATGAAACAGCTGGCTGTCTGGCAGTACTCCCTGTGTCTGGTTTTCAATGCTTCTCTAAATGATATCAATCCGTGCATGGTCAAACTCGTAAAAAATCAAAAATAAATAATAAATAAATAAATACAATAATTTGAAAAGTGGTAACACTTACAGTTGTTAGAATCGCATACTCCTGAATGCTTTAAACAATTTGTACGTCCATAAGAATTGTACTGCTTCCCGGTATCATTGTTACTGTTCATTGGAAAGGCTGGATTATTATAACGACAATTGGGACAAACTTCAGAATATATAGAGGCGACTAACGGATTCGAAGAGAAGTCATATCGCTGTTGTTGTTGCTGTTGTTGTTGTTGTCCCTCTCTACTGAATAACACAAGTGAATCGGAATATTTCATTGTCTGTGGAACCTCTGCATCTTCTACTACTAAATTGAAGCCTAAGTGAGATGAATCACATGCAGAAGTATTCACAGCATAATGAGAAGTGTTCATCAGTAGGCTACACGGAGGCGGAGGCGGAGGTTCGAGGTTTGATTGACAGTATTGTTTAGCAATAGTTGAGGAATTCTCCTTTATCGACAGAGGAGAAGTACTGGTCAGCTCTATTGAATTATTATTATTATTAGCAATTTTATTAGAAGGCATAAAACTACACTGATACGTAGATGTATTTTCATAATTTTTCAAATAATGCAAAGATTTCTCCATCTCATGGTATAAACACGACGAAGACAAAGAAGAATCGATCTACAACGAAAAAGTAGGCACAAGTAATATATACTATAGCAATAGCTAGTTACAGATTAAAAAACGGAGTGTTTTAATAGGTATCATACTTTACTTTTACTTTATTTCGGCTATCTCCTACGGGAGGATGAGCCGGCTTCATGAACATCTCGAATCATCGCTGCCTAGGCGCGGCGATCTGATGAAGAGAGTTCATGAAGTTTCATGGGAATTTGGTACGAGTGATGTCCCCAGAATCACTCGGCCACCTTTTGTTTGAGAGTGCAGCTCTAGGCTTTACACAACCAAGTGTGACCTACAAAGCAGTAGGAGTGGAGTAGAGTGTCCACTATCCATTGTCAGCCGGTGACCGGAGTTCGGTTCATACGCTGTTTTGAATGGGGCCAGACATCGAGGACATCCAACAAGCCCTTTGTCCATACGTCTGCCGGTGAGCTCCAGTGAACTTCATACGCCAGTCGTTGGGGGTTTGGAATCAGGGTTTAGCCATCTCCCCTAGACTGTCATCCAATGGGCAGTCAACCTGGTGAAGAGCGCCGGACATCCGCTTTCGCCCTCTCACTTTGGTGAAAAACACCTCCGCCACATGAAGGCAGTGAGTAGGACTTCCTCAGGAGAGGCTATGTAAGACGCTCGGTCATATGGTGTGTGCGGACAGGTGGCCAACCCGCAGCGCAAGGCACCCACCCCCGACCATCCTGAGGCTGTGGAGGAATAGGTATCATAGTCATTGCATGTTTATGTGATATATTAAACAAACCTGCTTAAGCGAACAATATTGTTGTTTTCAATTAGATAGATCTCATCATCAGGCTTAACTCTAATATACACCCACATAACTTTACAAATAAAAATTCAAATATAAACCAATCATCATGGTGTTTTGTCTCTAGGATAGATAATAAGACTGCCTAGTGAATAGAAGGGAAAATGGACATTTTAGTATATCCATATTTAGGAAGAAAACCCACTCAAATAAATATTTAGACTTCAAGTCATCACACCCCATCAGCGCAAAGATTTCAGTTGTTTCAAGTCTTCTTAGACGAGCACACTCTCTGTTGTTAACGGATGAGAAAGAAAAAGAAGAATAAGAAATATCAAACATTACTGAAACTCTCCTCAAGCAAAACAACTACCCAAGGAACTTCATCAACGAAATCAACACTGACATTAAATATGGTCGAAAACGCATTCCGAAAACATGGATGGACCTCAACAGACGTCATTCCATATAGAGCAGAGACGTCAGACGATATCAGAACAGTACTCAATAAGCTCGACATTAGAGTTTTCTTAAAAAATCATCAGACACACTTCAAAGCAACCTTGTCCATATAAAAGACCAAATCCCTAAAGATTCTCTATCTAATTGTGTCTATCAAATAAAATGCTTGGAATGTGATGCGATATACATCGGACAAACATCTGGAGAAATCAAAATCAGAAGAAATGAACACCGTAGAGCATCTGTTCGACCACCGAGAAATAAATCCAGTTGAACTAGAAAAGCTTGAAAAATCATCAGCCATAAGTCGTCTACACGCTACGCTATGGAATCAGGCCACAAAATTTATTCTGACAATATTGAAATCATCATCCAGAAAAAGCATTTCAGAAATCACAAAGAACGTCTAATATCAGAAGCACTTCACATCAAGTGGAATCAAAATTGCCTGAATAAGAATGATGGACTAAAACAGAATCTGACCTGGTTACAACACCCCAACCCCTCCCCCATGAAATGACAAAATCAACACGAATATGATAAGCAAGTTCACTATGTAAACACACACTACTTTTATAATTTTACACACTGATCAAATCCAACAATCTACACATGATGGTTTTGTTATCTTTACCAATTGACCAACTTGACAACTAAAAATGCCCCCAGTCAGACGAACGATGATCAAGTTAGTAAACTTTATTTTGATATCATAACAAACATACCTTTGTTATTTGGTTTAGTTATCTTCATTGCTATTTTTACTTTCAATATGTCCCTTTAACTTGACCTAAGTCTATTTTCTCACCCCCTAACTGTTTGTTATATATATGCTGAGATTTTGTAAATTCCGGTTTAATAATACTTTGATAAAGCTATTAGTGGCATTAAATAGCGAAACGTCAGTAAATACAATATCGTTTTGTTTTTCATTCATTGGGAAATACAAAAACCTTTATTATAAACCAATCATGGTGTTTTGTCTATTGAATAATAAGATGGTGAATATAAATTGTGCAATTAGTCATAATAGTAGCAATGATAATAATAATGATTAGGAGAGATGGTGGAAAGTCTCACCGATCTATTTTTTTTTCGTAAACAGAGATGGAGTGGACAATATCTTCATTTTACCAGTTTTGTTTCTATCCAGTATAAATGTTCCCTAGTGTGAAATGCTTCTTCTCAAGGGCCCGAAAAATATGCACCAGTGACACATTGATGGATGAGTTTTGACAAATACATTCAGTTTTATTAGCTAATGGTTATCCAGAGAACTTCATCACTTGTCACAGTAAGGATAGACCACATCCAGAAATGACAGCCACTGCTCCAAAGAAAGCTCTCTTTATTAACCTACCATTAAAGGGTGACCAGATTATGCAGTTGACAGCTAGCTCAAAGACTTCGGTCAGCCATCAAACACACATTCTACGCCGAATCTCTTTCCCTGACATCTCGAGCATTTTCCATCCCTGTACCTACGATTAAAGGACGAAATTCTGTGGACTCTACTTCAAAGTGTATCGACAAGTTCACCTACAGCTGCCGTGACAACTATATAGGTAGAACCAATGTCGTCGAAAAGAACACCTTCCAAAATAGTGACTAAATCATATAGAAAATCCCAATGCATTCATTAATCTGAATAGAAATCCAGCATCATCCATTGCAAAACACTTATTAATATGAGGTCACAAAATCAATCAATATTAATGACTGTTTCACAATTATTTCACATAACTCTAATTCAGAGTTATCGAAGGTGATGGAAGCACTGTGAATTAATCACATACAGCCTAAACTGTGTGTACAAAAATCAATCGACTTCAATCTTCGCCTACCATGGAAAACATGACCTATCTAAATATGATTGGTCATTAGTATGTACTTTTGTTTTTATTTAACTGAGTAATTGTAATGATCTTTATTTTATTATTGTTAACCATGTTAGTTGTAAAGCAGTTGTAAAGAAACTACGAAATGACGATATCATCTCGCGAAATTTGTCTTCTTAATGCCTTATTCAAATCTAACAAAGGGACTATTTGTTTTAACAATAATAATAATAATAATAATGGTCTTATCAATAATAAGGATGAAAAAGTGAGGCAATCTGTGATAACATGAATACTGATGAAAAACAGCATGATTAAACAAACAAATGTGTTCAGGTAGACAATAGTAGTCGATAAAGGTTAGTAAAAACAAATGAACCGATTAAGTAATGCTGGACTGATTGTGAGGGAAGTAAATGAAACACTTTTTTAGTGAAGATGTGATAAGATTAAGGGATGATAAGAGAGTGGGGTTGAAAATATACGTAAGTGAGGTGCGGTGGTGTAGAAGTCATCAGTTGGTTATGTCTTAATAGGCCAACAAGGGACGGAGGGATAATGGCTGTGTGTACGAACTTGTTTTGAATGAAGGCATAGTTTAGGTTGAATAGTTCGAATGCCTATCGACTCAGCATTAAACTGTAACTTAATAAATAGAGGTTTCTTATCAAGTGAGATTCTATTGCAAAGACTTTCAAGGGAGTATACGAAGAACATTTTATGCAGCACAACTATGCTTGTCATTCTCTAGGCGACGAATGATTGGGGTGCAAACGAAGGATAGGTAGCTAGATAGTTTTGCCACACATCAATGTGCATTTATCAATTGAACTGCATCTGCGGTGACAGTTATGTTGGGCACACTATTACTAGACAGCTTAGACAACGTGTTAGTGAAGATCTCCCATAATCGTGGTTTGGCAAAGGACAGATAAAAACAATTCGTAGCTCAATTTTGTCACATTTAATTGATAGTGGTCATGTAGTGGAGAAAACGTGAGCTTTCAAGGTAGTGCATCTTATCCCACCGAATCTTTCCAATAGACTTCGTATTCGTCTACTGCACACACATAGCTGAGGCGATAGGCATTCGAAATATTAAGCCTAAACTATGCCTTCATTCAAAAGAAATTCGTACACACAGCCATTATCCCCCCCTCCCTTGTTGGCCTATTAAGACATAACCAACTGATGACTTCTACACCACCACACCTTACTTACTTACTTATATTTCCAAACCCTCTCTTATCATCCCTTAATCTTATCACATCTTCATTAAAAACGTGTTTCACATTTACTTCCCTCACAATCAGTCTAGCATTACTTAATCGGTTCATTTGTTTTCTACAAGCCTTTATCGACTACCACGTCTACCTGAACACATTTGTTTGTTTAACCATGCTGTTTTTCATCAGTATTCATGTTATCACAGATTGCCTCACAACAATATTGTTCGCTTAAGCAGGTGTTGTTCTAAATTTTACTATGGGAATATTAAATATATATTAAATAAACACCGCATACATTTTAGTTCGTATGCTACTACTGGCTTTATTTTTCAGTAGTAAGTAAAGTTATTATTAAAATGCATGTCTAGAAAACTTACAAAAGTATCATAAAAAGTAGATTTTATATGTATAACAGAGTACTTAGCCATGTTTCCCATAAAGCTTGATTCTCTTAGAAATCCACACAACGGAACTATTTAAACTGTTAGAAAAAGGCAAACACTTCCCTAGGGGTTATTCGATAGAAAAACGAACCTTATGTCTAAAGGGGAAAAAAAGCGCTTCTCAACGCTTCTAGTGAATATCGACTCATTATTAGGCCTAAATTACAATGTATATATATACGATGTGAAAGTTGGTAATGATTTATGGACCCGTCACTACAATCAGTTGCGTCCAAGAAGCTCAAATATCCCTCCCTACCAG